CCTCCTGAGTAGCTAGGATTACAGGCGTGAGCCACCAGCGCCCTGCTGGATCACACAATTCTTATCCATACAGTAAACTATCACTACTGTCAGCCTTCTTATCTCTTCCCACAGGATGTATTAAATTCTACAAACAGTTCTCCTATGGTCATGATAAATATGAACTTACATTTTCACCAGAACTTCCAGTTTCAAGAATGAAATTCAAAGATATTATTCAGTAATTTTTTTTAATTCTAAACTTTTTTTTTGCCAGTCCTGGGGCTTGAAACTCAAGAGCCTGGGCACTGTCCCTGAGCTTCCTTTGCTCAAGGCTAGCACTCTACCACTTGAGCCACAGCACTACTTTTTCTGTTTACTTGGTACTGAGGAATCAAACCCAGGGCTTCATGCGTGCTAGGCAAGCACTCTACAACTAAGCCACATCCCCAGCACCTAAACATGGTTTTAAATATGCATTCACACCGAGCATTGGTGGCTCACGCTTGTAATCCTAGCTACTCAGGAAGGTAAGATGTGAAGACCACAGTTCAGAGCCAGCTATGGATCATGTGCTGGACTTAAGCACAAAAGCCTGGGAATAAATAATGCTCAGGTCCTGAATTCAAGCCTCAGAAGCAGCGTACACGCAGCAGGCACACGCGTGCGCGTGCGTGTGCACACACGCACACACGCTTGCATGCAAAAACTGGATGTACATATTTTATCAAATTTCTCTACTTCAGCTGATTCAAACCTGTAATACCTTTGGTTACAAGTCAATCTTCTAGTATATAATTTATTACACAATAAACCAAATATTCAGTGGGCAGCAAGAGAGTGATAGTGTTTGCCTAGGAAACTCAAGTCCCTGAAATTTAATACCAATACTGTTAAAAAAAAGGGGGGGGGGCTTTCCTTCTCAGCTCTTTCCCAGCTCTCTGAGCTCTTTTTCCCAGCTCTCTCTCTTTCCCTGCTATCTTCCCCAGCTCTGTCTCTTTCCCACTTCTTTCCCAGCTCTTTCCCACTTCTTTTTTTTATTTGGTCTGGTCATGGGGCCTGAACTCTAGGCCTGGGTGCTGTCTCTCAGCTCTTTAGCTCAAGGTTAGCACTCTACCACTTGAGCCACAGCACCACTTCCGTCTTTTTTTTTTTCTTTCCCACTTCTTTTCCCAGCTCTCTCTCTTTGGTCTTTCCCAGGCCTTTAAAAAAAAAGGGGGTGGGTGGGAGAATACACTCTTTCCATGGAAAATAATAAATATAAGTATTTATATTACTTTCTCAAATTTCAGCTATATTAATAACAGTTGCCCTAACCCCTGGGGGAGACATACATCCTATGAGCTCTAGTAGATGCCTGAAATTGAAGATAGTATTATACATTATATACCATTTTTTCCCTGTAGAAACTCCTATAAGGAAGTTTGATTTATAAACATGGTAGAAGATAAATAATAACATTATTATATATACTTACATAGTAATGTAAGTACCTACATATACACTTATTACAATAGCAAGTTATATAAAATTTAAGAAGTATTAGGAAACATTTGCCTCTCCAATTTTTTATTTGGTGTTTTCAGATATGGTCTGACTACAAAAAGCAAAACTGGGGGCTGGGAAGTTGGTTCAGTGGTAGAGTGCTTGCCTTGCATGCATGGGCCCTGGGTTCAATTCCTCAGCACCACATAAGCAGAAAAAAGCTAGAAGTGGCGCTGTGGCTCAAGTGGTAAGGTGCTTGCTTTGAGCTGAATAGCTGAGGGACGGTGCCCAGGCTCAGAGTTCAGGCCCCACTACCGAGGGGGAAAAAAAGCAAAACTGCTAGTGGAGGGACCTGACTGTAATTATGTCAAAGTGCCTGACGGAGAGCCAGTACTTTAAGATTACTTTGGAGCTTGTATAGAGTATAGAGGCAATACATAAATGCATTACATAATTGACCCAATTTAAAGTGCAAGTTGTCAGGTGCCAGAGGATCACACCTGTAATCAAAGTTCCAAGTCTGATATGAAAAAAAGTTCATGAGATTATCTCCAATTAACTAACAAAAAGCCAGAAGTTGTGACTCAAGTGGTAGAGTGCCAGCCTTGAGCAAAAAAGCTAAGGGGAAGGGGCTGGGAAGGTGGCTCAGTGGTAGAGCACTTGCCTTGCATGCATGAGACCCTGGCTTTGATTCCTCAGCACCACATAAGCAAAAAGAAAAAAGCTTACATAAGTACCTATAACAGTGACATTCATGGAAAGTAGAATAGAGCTTTTTTTTGGGGGGGGGTGGAGGGGAGGGGTCGGTCATGGGGCTTGAACTCTGGGCCTGGGTGCTCTCCCTGAGTTCTTTAGATCAAGGCTAGCACTGTACCACTTGAGCCACAGTGGCACTTTTGGTTTTCTGGTGTTTAATTGGAGATAAGAGTCTCAAGGACTTTCCAGCCTTGGCTGGTTTTGAACTGTGATCCTCAGATTTCAGCAGATAGGCATGAGCTACCAGTGCCCAGCAAGGATAATGCTTTTATTAAAGCTTCAAGTAAGAATAATGGGGAGTTATTGTTTAATGGATAGTTTTAGTTTAAGAAGATGAAAAGGCTATGGAGATGGATGTGGGTAAAGGCTTCAGAAAAAATGTATATTTGTTAACCCATGTACCTAAAATGTCCTTAAGATTGTAAGTTTTTTGCTGAGTGCTGGTGGCTCACGCCTGTAATTCTAGCTACTCAGGAGGCTGAGATCTGAGGATCATGTTTCAAAGCCAACCCTGGCAGGAAAGTCCATGAGCCTCTTATCATCAATTAACTACCAGAAAACCGGAAGTGGAAGTGGCTCAAGTGGTAGAGCGCTTGCCTTGATGAAGAGCTTAGGGACAGTGTCCAGGCTCAGAGTTCAAGCCCCACGACAGACCCCCCCCCCAAAAAAAAGGTTATTAGTATTTTATCCTGTATATTTTATAACAACAGTTAATTTTTATCAGAAAATGAACATACACAATCAACAGAATAACAGACCCAGAAGTGGAACTGTGGCTCAAGTGGAAGAGTGCTCGCTTTGAGCTAAAGAGCTCAGGGACAGCACCCAGGCCCAACAACAACAAAAGCTATGCTGAAAATAATATAACTGGTATTATATAAATGATAGAGAAGGAACAGACAAGACACATTTTACAGGTTCAACTTTGTACACTGGTTCTTCACCAGACCTCAAAAGAAATCCAACATTTAAAAAGGGTTTGTAAGTTCATGTGAGACACCGGTGCAGGTAGCTAATGCCTATAGTCCTAGCTACTTAAGAGGCTACGATATGAAGACAGCAAAGTCCACAGCATAGTCAAAGAGACTGTGATCTCCAATTAACCACCAAATATACAGCAGGAAGTAGATCTGTGCTTCAAGTTTTCTTTTCTTTTTTTTTGGTGTGTGTCTTTCATGGGGCCTGAACTCTGGGCCTGGGCACTGTCCCTCAGCTCTTCAGCTCAAGGCTAGCACTCTACCACTTGTGCCTCAAGTTTTAAAGCATTATCCTTAACCAAAAAACCTAGGACCAACTCAAAAACGAAATACATAAAGTTCATGTGAAAACACGAAGGCAGAGAACAACAAACATCACCTACAAAGAACAAATATCTAGGTTGAAAGGGAGACCTCTATGTTCAGTAGAAATGATAGGTGAAGGTAAAGAAGAAAATGGAATTAAGGGCTGGGAAGATGGCTCAGTGGTAGAGCACTTGCCTTGCATGCCTGAGCCCCTGGGTTCCATTCCTCAGCACCATATAAGCAAAAAGAAAAAAGCCAGAAGTGGCGCTGTGGCTCAAGTGGTAGAGCGCTAGCCTTGAGCTGAAGAGCACAAGGACACAGCGCCCAGGCCCAGAGTTCAGGCCCCACAACCGGACCCCCACCCCCCCCCAAAAAAAAAGAAAATGAATTAAGTTGTGGAAGGCATTAAAGCAAAAAGTATTGGAGGGAAGGTAAAAAGAAAAAGAGGGAGGGGAGGGATGGAGTAGATCATCAAAACTACTTTTCAAGCAGGTAGTGGGGGGGGGGGGAGTGCGGCAGGAAGAAGGCTAGAGAGGGAAAGAGAGAAGGAAGGGGGAGGGCAAGCTGGAATCTGGAATCTGAGGTGCTCAGAAGGCTAAAATTTAAAGTCATGATTCAAAGTGAAACAACTCCAAATAACTTTTTTTTTTTTTTTGGTGGGTCATGGGGTTTGAACTCTGGGCCTGGGCCCTATCCCTGAACTCTTCAGCTCAAGGTTAGCGCTCTACCACTTGAGCCACAGCACCACTTCTGGTTTTCTGGTAGTTAACTGGAGATGAGAGTCTCACAGATTTTCCTGCCCAGCCAGACTGGCTCTGAACCCAATCCTCAGATCTCAGCCCCCCCAAAAAAAAAGAAGAAAGAAAGAAAGAAAGTAGGCAAGTGTTTTACCACTGACCTACATCTCTAGCCTTCAAATAATTTATGAAGAAAAATCAACACACTCTTCTCCTTAAAACAAATATTTTTTGAGGAAAGAATCCATCTCAAACTGTTAACACTCAAGTTTTTGTGGGTTTTTGTCAGTTGTGGGGCTTGAACTCTGGGCCTAGGTGCTGTCCCTCTACCACTTGAGCCACAGTGCCACTTCTGGTTTTCTGATGGTTAACTGGAGATAAGAGCCTCATGGACTTTCCTGCCTGGTCTGGCTTTGAACCAAGATCCTCAGATCTCAGCTTCCTTAGTAGCTAGAATTATAGGCATGAGCCACCAGGGCTCAGCAACACTCTTAATTAAGTGTCTGAGTCTTTTTCAGATGCACATTACTTTCCAATACAAAGTCATTACAGGTTGCCTTGGAGTAAGCTTCCTTTTCATTATGATTTCAGAAGCAAGCCCTTTGTCACTGACTGGAAAACTTGTCCACATTAAATTTATTCACAGTTGTAAACAATTCTTAAAAGCTGCAAAAGTTAAGAAGCTCTAAAGTATGTATTAGATAAGTCAAGAAATATATCATGTCTTAAAAGTTCATGCACAAAAATAGGGTTACAATACCTTTGGGGGATTAAATGGGTATGTTTCTGGTATTTTTATCTCTAGTTGGTATCTTCCTCCTAAAAAATGGTAAGAACAAATAATGTTGCTCAACTCAAACATGAAATCAAATATATTGATAATTCTTCAAATATCTTTTTACATATTCAATTACAAGTTAATTTTAAAAGTAAACTCAAAAAATATCTAAAGCATTATTGTCCATCTAAAATATACATATAACTCGTTAATGAATAAATCACAGGGTTATTCATGAAGACATCAAAGCTACAATCAAATGCCACGTATCTCATTAAGACAACTAGTGGAATAGAGGTTCCATTTTTTTATCAAGTCCACGCTGTTTTAAGTTGCTAAATAAGAGAAGAAAAAATAGACGAAGAAATAAAAAGCAGATATAAAGGGATAGGTATCATACAAAGGAGTCACGTAATGCTAAAACTAAGAACAACAACAACAATTTATTTTTGCTAGTTCTCTATCATGTTAAAAAAAAAAAGCCCTAATCTTTCAACATATGTATGTCCTAAGTTATCTTTAATACAATTTGTTAAACATGTAAAAACAAAATCCAAGAATGAAAAAAGAGACAGGCATAAAATCACTGAATTAGCTGGGCAATCCTAGATATTTAAGGAGGCCGAAATATAAGGATTTCACTGTGAAGCCTGCCCAGAAAGGTCTGTGCAAATCTTAACTTCAATTAACTACCAGAAAGGTGAAAATGGAGCTGTTCAAATGGTAGGACATTACCCTTGAGCAGAAAAAGCTAAGGAACAGGACATAGGCTATGAGCGCACACCCCACATAGAATAATATGAAAGTAAAACTAGGGGCTGAGAAGGTGGCTCAGTGGTAGAGGCCCTGGCTTCGATTCCTCAGCACCACATAAGCAGAAAAAGCCAGAAGTGGCGCTGTGGCACAAGTGGTAGAGTGCTAGCCTTGAGCTAAAGAGCTGAGGGACAGCACCCAGGCCCCACAACCAGCCAAAAAATAAAACAAAACAGAAATTAATTTTTCCTTTCTCGACAAAGTGTACACAAAATGCAAACCTTTACAAAATAGACTTAACCAGTAAAACTGTATATAAAGAGAAAACAATAATACATTTGTTTTGAAATTCTCTACAGCAACCAACCAGGTATTTATAAAAAGCCTATCCAGCTTCTGGTAACTTGACTATTAAAGGGAAAGATAACTTGCTTCTTAGAAAACGCAAGGAAAGAAGCTCTACACTGGATGGGAGGCTGCATTAGAGTACTAACTCTAAGAAACCTTTCAATTCTAAGACTTTACGACCCATTAACAAAATGTTCCCTCTTATAAAACTGCAGAAAATGAATGCTTTATTCTTAAAAGTAAATGAGTAAAGTAAATAAATACTTCATATTTGTTAAAAGTAAATATGAAGGCAAAGCACTGGTGGCTCAGACCTGTAATCGTAGCTACTCAGGAGGCTGAGATCTGAAGATCACGGTTCAAAGCCAGCTCAGGCAGGAAACTCTGTGACTCTTATCTCCAGTACACTACTCCAAAAACTGGAAGTGGCACTGTGGCTCAAGTGGTAGAGTGCTCGCCTTGAGCTGAAGGCTGAGGGATAGTGCCCAGGCCCAGAGTTCAAGCCCCATGACAGGAAAACAAAAACAAAAACAGAAGTGGCACTGTGGCTCAAGTGGTAGAGCAAAAGAAGCTCAGGGTCAGTTTCCAGACCCAGAGTTCAAGCCCCAGTACAAGCAAAAAAAAAAAAAAAAAAAGTAAATACTGGGAGGGAACACAAAAGTGCAATGCCCGAAGTCTCTGATCATATAAAATATTTATCAAAATAAAAAAGAAGGGGACCGGGAAGGTGGCTCAGTGGCAGAACGCTTGCCTTGCATGCCGGAGGCCCTGGGTTCAATTCCTCAGCACCACATAAGCAAAAAGAAAAAAGCCGGAGGTGGCGCTGTGGCTCAAGTGGTAAGAGTGCTAGCCTTGAGCTGAAGAGCTGAGGGACAGCGCCCAGGCCCAGAGTTCAGGCCCCATGACCGGACCCAAAGAAAATAAAAAAGAAGGTAACTACTGCTGGGCATCAGTGGCTCAAATCTATAATCTTAGCTATTTAGGAGACTGAGAATCTAAGGATTGAAGTACAAAGCCAATCCAGGTAAGAAAGTCTGTGATACTCTTACCTCCAATTAACCATCAAAAAGCCAGAAGTGGAACCACACACACACACACACACACACACAATTTATAAGTGTATATGTTCATACATATACGTATATATTTAATAAACACTTAAGAGTAGAGGTATAGACAATAAAAGTTTAATAAAGCTTTCACTACAGAATATTTACCCTTTGAGGAATAATTAGGATAATTAAGGAATTTTTATGATTATATTCAATAGCCTTCACTATTGAATATCTCTTTCAGAATACATGGTAGGGCTGGGGGTCAGGAGCTAGGGGGAATACATATAGGCTGGAAGTGGAGCTGTGGCTCAACTTGTAGAGTGTGCCTTGAGCACAAAAGCTCAGATACAGCAGGCCATGAGTTCAAGCCCCAGCATTACCACAAGGGGGGGGAGGGGGAGAATACATGTGGAGGTCTGTCTTTTTCTAATGAGGCCCAGGCTAACCTTAAACCCCTGGGGTTCAAATTCTCCTTGTCAAACATTCCCCCAAATAGCAAGAACTACAATCAACATGCCCTTATGTTCAGTTTTAAGAATAGGTTCCCAGGCTGAATGAAGTAGGTAAACTTGGGACAGTAGCAGAGCACTTATCTAACACAGGACCCCGAGTCTGATACCTAACACCAATGAATAAATGAATGGCTTCCAATATTAGAAATTCCTAAACTCTGCAGGCAGTGGTAGCTCACACCTGTAATCTTAGCTAGCCAGAGCTCTGAGGATGGTAGATTGAGACCAGCCTGGACAGAAAAGTCTGTGAGACTTGTATCTCCAACCAGCAAAAAATCAAATTGAATGTGTGATTTAAGTGATAAAACACTAGCCTTAAGCAAAAAAAGCAAAGGACAGTGTGCAGTTTCGAAGTTCAAGCCCTAGGATCAGCATATGAAAAAAAATTTTTTTTCCTAGCCCTCTATAATCCTACCTACTCAGAAGGCTAAAATCTGAAGATCTTAGTTTGAAGCCAGCTGGGTAGGAAGTTCATGAATCTCATCTCCAATTAAGCACCAAAACAGCTAGAAATAAGAGCTGTGCCTCAAGTAATAGAGTGCTGGCTTTGAGCAAAAACAAGTTCAGGGACAGTGCCTGGGATGAGTTCAAACCCAAGGACAGGAACAAAAAAAGAAAGAAGGGGAGGGGAGGAGGAAAGAAGGAAGAAAAGAGAGAAAGAGAAAGAAGAATAAGAAAAACAAAAACATAGCCAGACACCAGTGGCTCACATCTGCAATCCAGGAGGCCGAGATATGATGATAATGGTTCAAAGCCAGCCCAGAGAGGAAAATCCACGAGATTTGCTCATCTCAGAAAACTACTCAGAAAAGGCTGGAAGTAGTGCTATGGCTCAAATGGTAGAGCACTAGCCTTGAATGCAAAGAGACTCAGGGACAGTACCCAGGCCCAGAGTTCAAGCCTCAGGACTGGCACCAAAAAAAAAAAAAAAAATGATTTCACGGGGCTGTGAGGCCCTGGGTTTGATTCCTCAGCACCACATAAGCAAAAAGAAAAAAGCCGGAAGTGGCGCTGTGGCTCAAGTGGTAGACCGCTAGCCTTGAGCTGAAGAGCTGAGGGACAGCGCCCAGGCCCAGAGTTCAGGCCCCACAACCGGACCCCCCCCCCAAAAAAAATGATTTCTTTGGTAAAAATTATGTTGGAATTATGGAGACCTTAGAATGTGGCTTAGTGGCTGGCAGAGTATTTGCCTAACATGCATAAAGCCCTGGGTTTATTCCTCAGTACCACATAAACAGAACAAGTTAGAAGTGGCCCTGAGGCTCACATGGTATAGCCTTAAGCTGAAGAAGCTCCGGGGCAGTGCCCAGGCCCTGAGTTCTAACCCTAAGACTGGGGATAAAAAGAAAAAAAAAATTACCGAAATCAGGGCTGGGAATGTGTCTTAGTGGTAGAGTGCTTGCCTAGCATGAATGAAGCCCTGGGTTTGATTCCTTAGTACCACATAAAAAAGCCAGAAGTGGTGCTGTGGTTCAAGTGATAAGAGTGCTAGCCTTGAACAAGAGAAGCTCAGGGACAGTGCACCCAGGTGGGTTCAAGTCCCAGGACTGGCCAAAACAAAAAAAACCACCCACATTCAAAGTAGTCTACCCACATTCAAAGTGGTCATAAATACCCAGGAGCGCTAAACTTCAGTCAATCCTGATTTACATAAAAACAGAAAACGATTAAAAGCATAGGCCTTGAAGTCAAAGGTTATTAGTCAAATCCTAGCTCTGTCACTTCAACGTCCCAACCTTAGGCAAATTATTTAATTTCTATGAAGTTAAGTTGCTTCATCTATAACTGTACTTACCTCAAAACTTATTGTAAAAACTGAGCAAGAAAATGAATATAAGGCTTGTGCAAGTAAGAGCTACCACATATTTTGCTATATGCTTTCTATTAAGAAAATGTTTGTATACGTATATGCAAGGAATTTTTGTTTACCTATAACACAAAATTTACAATATTTATGAAGCTTTGCCTAATAAATTAAATGAAGATAAAGTTGCTTCCTGTAACCAATTCCATAGTTTAAAGTAGCTAGAAACTCAATTTGTGAAAATGAAATTCAGCAGATTACTTCCTTTTCTATACATCTTAAAATGACCACTTAAAACTTTCTTAAATAAAGTATTTAGGCTACACCTGTGTGAATATATTAGCAAATGAAATGCTACATGACAAACAAGGGAGAGGTGCTTCTAAAATAAAAGCATTAGTCAAATTTAAGGCAAGATTGGTTATAAATACCATATGAAGGTAACTGAATCTACAGTCTATTAAAATTAAGAGACAACATTCTATGTTTTGTATTATTAAATTTTAACCTATATGACATGACCTGTAACTTGGTTCTACTAAATCTATTTTGGGGAAAGAAAATATAATAGCTAAAATTCAGTAAGAAAAATTAGTTCAGTCTAGGTGTCCTAATGTATTCGTTTTTAAAAACTACAGTACATTCTAAGCCAAATGAAGTCATCTTTCATGTATTTTATAGATGTTCAAGATTATTTTGATTTGATGTTTTAGATAATTTCTAATACGCACAATATTTTGATACAGAAAAAAAGTACTTGCCTTCATATGGTGTGTCTGGAGGTCCTGCTATTTCTCCTCTTAATTCTGTAAAATTCTCATCTACAAGATCTACTTTAATTTGATTTTTGCTCGTCTTAAAAATAAACAGAAAATAAATGTTAGTTATATCAACAAGAAAAAAAGCTTGTTTTAAAATATCTATAAAAAATTTGAAACCCCTTTTTCATGTTTTTTTATCTGCTGTACTAAAATTAAATTAGCCAAGTTTTATTATTTAAAATTAAAAAGAAATTTTAGCTTTGATTTTTTTTCATAAAAGAATCCCACTTTGAACAACACTACAATAGTTTGTTGGCTCTACAGAAAAATTTGATTTTTAAAGAAATTTTTCTGGTTCTGGGGTTTGAACTTAGTGCCTCACACTAGCATAGGCAGGCAACTCAACACTTGAGATGCCTTCAGCCAAACTTTACCAGACTGTTAATAGAGAAATAGTAGAGAACTTATTTTATGTTTGACTCTATGTATATTAGATGCAAAGTAATAGATATACTCCAGTGAAGCTGGCCATTAAAATACTTTATCACCAGACTCTTTGGAGTTCTGTCCACACCATCAGGAAAATTTAGTTATTAAAAAACCACTTAGCAGCTAGGCCTGCGGGGCTTCCAAGTCTGTCAGACTCTGATCTCCACTTAACCACCAGAAAACTGGAAGTAGAGCTGTAGCTCAAAGTTGTAGAGCACTAGCCTTGAGTACAAAAGCTCAGGGACAGAGCCCAAGGTTCAAGGATCACGACCAACCAAAAAAAGCCACTTAGGGCAAGACATAGAGGTTCTCAGAAAATCATGGTATGAGGCCAGTTCTTGAAGTGCATGGATTTTCAACAAAGGACTAGACACAGTAGTATATGCTTGTCATCCCTAGAAACGGGAGATACAATTACAGCCCAGGCCACACAGACATAAATGAAGATCATACCTCAAAAATAACCAACATAATTTATATGTTATTGGGAGGATAAGGGGAAGCACAGAAATGGAGGGACAAAAGCTGAACAAATGCACAAGTGATACCCAGTAGACACTATGTTGAAAATGAATTATACAACTTGTGGGTGGGGACAGGAGGGAAAAACTGGGAGAGCAAGAGAAGGGGTGAAATTGTCCAAAAAGAAATGTACTCTTTACTTGACTCATGTAACTGTAATCTCTCTGCACATCAACTTTATAATAATAATTTTAACTACCATAAAACCAAAAGTGGTATTGTGGCCCAAAAAGTGGCAGATTGTTAGTCTTGTGCAAAAGAGCTCAGGGACAACACCTGGGTCTCGAGTTCAAGCCTCACAACCAAAATATTTTTTAAAAAAAGTAAAAAGACTTTGTCCACTGCATATAAAAATAAAAATATTAAGATTTCTAAATAAAATAATTATTAGATCTTGCATATCTTCATCAATGCTTTCAAAGATCTCTACAGCTACCATAATCTCCACTGTAAATTGAAAGTAAATAGTACTAAAATGTTAAGAGTACTACAAGATCTCTTTTGGGAAAGAGACAACAATGAAGATTAGAAAGGCTGCTTTCTGGCATTATCCCAATTCTATGGTTAGTAAAATGCTAAACTATTTTAATCCGTCTGTCCTTATTTCTGCCCACATATCATCACCAAATACAACGTTCCCTCCACTGAAAAACCACCCTTTGTGTACATATAAAAAGTTTACAGAAAAAAGCTAGCTTATTCTTATAATCCTAGTTACTCAGAAGGCTGAGATTTGAGGATCCCAGTGCAAAGCCAGCCAGGACAGGAAAGGCCATAGGACTCTTACTTCCAATTAGCCACCTGAGAACCATAAGTGGAGTAGGAGTACTAAAGAGAGACCACTAGCCTTGAGAAAACAAAAGAAAAACAAAAAAAAACCTAGCAGCTCAGGACAGCCTCAGGCCCTGTGTTTAAGCTTCAAAACTGACAAAAAAAAAAAAAAGTCAGCTCAAGAAAGTACTACCATCATGATGAATGATATTATAAACACATGCTATAAATTGTCTACAGTAGAGCCTCTAATACTAAAAAGAAAAAGAAAAATCAAGTTAAATATAGGGTGGTTCTGCACAGCTCAATTTTTGATCAAGTAGCAATTATCCTTTCACCTATTTTGATTTAACAAGTATTTGCAATGTAAAACAAATACCTCTACTGACAAAACCTAGCATAAAGTCTCAGAAACTAAGTCATGGAAAATGGAAAAGGTGAGTTTTAGAAAAGGTACAGCCTGTGGAACCAAACAGATGTGAGCTGAATTCTCTTTCTGTCACTTGCTTATATTATTAACCCAGCTATGCCACCTAACATCAAGATCTCAAGTTTATTACTATGTGAGTAACTGTCTCAAAATTAAATGTCTCTTAAACAGAAGTTGATTACCCACTGCATTATCAATGTAATTTTTTTATTGTGAAAATACCATACACAGGGGTTACAATTACATGGGCAAGATAATGTCAATGTAAAAAAAAATTTTTTTTTTGGGGGGGGGTTCTGGTCGTGGGCCTGAACTCTGGGCCTGGGCACTGTCCTTCAGCTCTTCAGCTCAAGGCTAGCACTCTACCACTTGAGCCATACAGTGCCACTTACAGCTCTTTTTTTTCTGCTTATGTGGTGCTGAGGAATCAAACCCAGGACCTCATGCATGCAAGGCAAGTGCTCTACCACTGAGCCACCTTCCCAGCCCTCAATGCAAATTTTTAAAAAACATTTCAAAGCTGTATTTTATCAAATTTATTTCTTATTTTCTTGATATAAATAAGTAACAATGTGTTATTCATTTTAATGATTTTAATAACCAAATAGGCTTTTGGGGAAAGCCTTGAACAACTGTGCTATTGTGGCATTACAATTTTTATTCTTTTTTTGTCGGTCGTGGGGCTTGAACTCTGGGCCTGGGCGCTGTCCCTCAGCTCTTCAGCTCAAAGCGAGCGCTCTACCACTTGAGCTACAGCGCCACTTCCGGTTTTCTGGTGGTTTATTGGAGATAGGAGTCTCACGGTCTCTCCTGCCCGGGCTGGCTTTGAACCGCGATCCTCAGATCTCAGCCTCCTGAGTAGCTAGGATTACAGGCGTGAGCCCCCAGCGCCCGGCTTTTTTTTTTTTTTTTTTGCCAGTCCTGGGAGTTAAACTCTGGGCCTGGGCTGTCCCTGAGCCTCTTTGTGCTCAAGGCTACTTGAGCCATAGCACCACTTCCAGCTTTTCTTACTGAGTAAATTTATTGGAGATAAAGAGTCTTAGGAGTTTTCCTGCTTCAGATCTCAGCTTCCTCAGTAGTGAAGATTACAGGCATGCATGAGAGCCATCGGAGCTCCGTGTGGCATTAAATGTACTCATTACCTTGCCTACGTAATTGTAACCCTTCTGTACGGTATTTTCACACACACAAAAAAAACTTCTGAGGATATAGCTACAAAGTTTTTTTTTTAATAAGCCATTCAGTTCAACAGCACAGGAAGACATCTCCTTTTTTCCTGTTGTTCACCTGGATCAAAACCTACTTATAATACAGGAAAGACAGAAATCTAGTCACACACAGTGAGACCAAAGGAGGATACTCTAAGGACTGGAACACAAAGGCCCAATGCCTACGTGCCTCTGATCATATAAAATAATGCTTATCAAAATGAACTCAAGGACATAGAAATAAGAGTATTTTTTCCATTGATATTTTTGTTTTCTTTTTGTCTTGTTTATTCATTTATCTGTCGTTGGGAGGGTAAGGGGAAGCACAGAAATGGAGGGACAGAGTGTGAACAACCGCAGAAGTGGTACTTACTAGACACTGAGGAAAATGAACCTTTACAACTTTGTGAGTGAGGATGGGAGGGAAGAGCTGGGAGGGAAGGAGTGACATTGTCAAAAAGTGTTCTTTACCTGACATACATAATTGTAACCCCTTTGTACATCACCTTTATGAACAATAAAAAATCAGATATAGAGTATATTCAGTGTGTGCTTATTAGCACACAGGAAGACCCAGCTTCAATCTCCAATATACTAAAAAATAAAAGAACAATTCCAATATATTCCAAGGTCAATTCTGAGAAAAAAAAATCTCCAAAATTATTTTGAGTAATACTAAGGTCTATTATGTACAAGAAAGTGAACTGAGAGACTTATCTCCAACTAACTAGCAAAAAGACAAAAGTGGAATTGTAGCTCAAGTGTTATATAGCATCAGCCTAGAATAAAAATGCCAGGTAAGAAACACATGGCCCTGAGTGCAAGCTCCAGCACCAGCACAATAAATAAACAAATGAATATAGTAAGATACAGAAATAACTTTTTTTTTTGGTCGGTCATGGGACCTGAACTCTGGGCCTGGGCGCTGTCTCTCAGATCTTCAGATGAAGGCTAGCACTCTACCACTTGAGCCACAGTGCCACTTCTGGCTTTTTCTGCATATGTGGTGCCAAGGAATCGAAGCCAGGGCCTCATACATGCAAGACAAGCACTCTACTACTGAGCCACCTTCTCAGCCCCCCCCAAAAAAAATTTTTTAAGACCCAAGTAAAGCTGGTGGTTATCCCTGTAATCTTAGCAAACTCAGAAGGTTAAGGGCTGAGGATCATGGTTCAAGGCCAGCCAGGGAGGAAAGTCCATGAGACTCATGTCCAATTAACTACTAGAAAATTGGAAATGGCACTACAGCTCAAAGTGGTAGAACATTAGCTAGCCTTGAGCAAAAGAGTATAACGACAGTACCCAGGCCCTGAGTTCAAGCTCCATGACCGGGGCTGGGAAGGTGGCTCAGTGGTAGAGCTCTTGCCTTGCATGCTCAAGGCCCTGGGTTCGATTCCTCAGCACCCCATAAGAAAAAAGCCGGAAGTGGCACTGTGGCTCAAGTGGTAGAGTGCTAGCCTTGAGCTGAAGAGCTGAGGGACAGCACCCAGGCCCAGAGTTCAGGCCCCACGACAGGACCCAAAAAAAAAAACTTTAAGCAGAAAAACATAGTTTGAAGGAAGGAAGGATATATAGCTCAGTAGCAAAGTGCTTCTCTAGTAAGGCAAATGTAACTTCCTGGGTTTGATCCCAATACCCTCCCCAAAAAACAAACCCAACAAGGCTAGGCACTGT